CCATTTTGAAATGAGCAGTAGAGGCCGAGGAGCGCAACCATTAGCATGCAGCACCTAGAGAAGAGACACAGAAAAACACAAGAATTAGACAGGAGAACATTTCTTTTGAAGTGTTTTAATTCACAGCAAAGCACTGCCATTTTGATGAGCTACCTGGAAGCTATTCAGCTCATTGTCCCTGTCCACAAACAGTTCCGTCTTGTTCCCGTAAACTCTGACCAGGACCACATCCTCGGGACTGTCCTCCACGTAGCAGCCCACCAGTTTGTTGGTGGTTCCATCCGTGAAGAGCTGGAGGAGGAAGATAAAAGAAGTCATGTAACCTTTCACAGAGATCCAGAGGAATACCCCCAACCTCTCCGCACAGCGCCATGGTGTTTTCCAAAACAAAATCTGGAATTTGAGTGTTCACTAAAGCTATCAGCTGTCAGGACCAACAGTGCAGACACCATGCAGCTCTCACCTTCATGAGATATTAAATGTCTCATACAGCAGCATTTTCAACTGGCTACTGTCACATGAGCCTCAGGACCTTTATGTCAATCTATTTGACACATTCACATTTGTCACCCAGTATAGGTGTCTGTATCCGCCTGTCTTTTCTTGTGTTTGCTGCATTTGGAGACATTTCTAGGAGTCAACTAGGGCTGCACAATTAATCAAATATAACAGCGATCATATGTTTGGCTTCACACAATTTAATTATTGGGGGGGGGGGGGGGGGGGGGGAGAGAGACAGAGACACTATGTACGCGCTCGTGAACTGGTCAAGGGGGGACCTGTGGACCTCTGTCGCCGGTCAGCGCAACTTACATGATGCCGTTTCAAAAATCTAATATAAAGGGCGGTGCCGGGCCGTCAGCGAACCGAGCCAGGCCTTTCTGCGCGACTGTCACTCAAATGCTGGACATAGTCTCAATTTGTGGGACGGGTCAAATGATAAAAATGCCGTGTGTGCAGTCCTGGTCACCCTACACACACCACGGTACACACAGTACACACCAGAGGTCGCGTTAACCGAATATTTTCCGTCTATGACAGAATTTTTTTAACAATGACAGAAATATCTGAGAGCAGTCCGTCATTTTGACGGATTAGAACAAACTCAGAACAGCGCCAAAGTTTCCCCGCAGCAGGGCTCTGGTTATGCCGTGTTATGGATGCCCGCCAAAAAGGAAATGATATCGTTTCCAGACCTAACTTTGCCGTACTAATCATTGAAATGTCTGGGAGGTTATGCTTTACGCTGTGGTGCGCTCCCGCGAGGTGCAGTGGATATGCATAACACGGCATAACACCGGCGCTAACAGTTCAGGAGCGTGCTCTCCTCCCCCCCCCGTCCCCCCCGTCAGTTGTGTACAGACCGACGGGTAATAATGGGTAATACAGGGTTGCCAACTCTCAACGCATCTGTGCGTGTGACACACGCTTTCACTCTCAATCTCACGCTCTCACGCTGCCCAAACTATTCTCACGCCAAAAGCAAGAATACCGAAGACAAGAAACGGTTTTGAAAACTTTTGTCACGTAGTGATCGTCTTCTCATTAGAACATCTTTGATAATGTCTTCTGGCCAATCAGAATCACGATAACGGCGTGGTGTTGTTGCAGGAAGTCCCGACGGAGAATACTTTTGCGGTAGTACATCTCATATCATCGATACAACATTACGTGTTGATAGAAATCAACACGTAATGAAATAAGACCCCACGGTTTGATCATTGATAGGTGTGTGGGCTGTCTTTCATTTTGACACACAGAACAATGGGGGCTATCCACCCTTATCCACAATGTAAAGTAATTCACACAGCCTCTTCCCTCTTCTCTCTGTGAGGAGCAGCAGGTTCAGCTTTCAGAACAAAGTAACACAAAACTAAAATGGCATTCATTTTTTTAAATATGTAGTAATAGATTTATTTATTTTTCTTCTCAAGAGAGTACCAGAATGTGTATTTGATGTTAGTATTTAAAAAAATCTCCTGGGGGAGAATCCCCCCAGACCCCCCTGCAGGGGTTGGGTTTTCAGCATGTCTACTCTTTCACCTGTGGGGAAATTGCAGGATTGGCTCCAGGTCGCCCTTTTTATTTACTACAAGACAATGTGCCTTTTATTTCATACAGTTCAATTTGGATTGAGACAGGGAAATAATCTAAACCTCACGCGTGGCGTTTCACTGTCGGGGGGAGCGTGTATGTAATTAACATTGCAAATACTGACTTGAGCCCCACCACTGTATGGGTTAGCCCTACCATAGATTACCCAACAAAAATACTCTGGAGCCGCAACTGCAACTGTAGATCTAAGATCCAGTAGAAATGATAAAAAGTAAAAGTCTGCTGCTTATTGTTTCTACTCGGCCAAAATAGAGTCAAAGAGTATATGAGAGTGAGAGTGTGTTAATTAATATATTTGGCAGTTTGGAGTAAGTCTGTAGATTTGTTTGTGTGTGTGTGTTTCATGTATAGGGCCTCTCACGATAATTAATTTTGTTGGATACATTTTCCCGGAAATTATTGCGATAAAACGATAATATTGTCGGCACCGTTGTATGACCATTTTAGACCACTGACATAATGATAATATATAATAATAATTCAAGTACATCCTTTCAAACTGCTAGTCACATCCTCATGTAAATGGCAATTTATCGAGGTCAGAAAGTTATCGAGTTCATTTTTATTTATCGTACGATAAGTCAATTAATTGCTTATCGCGACAGGCACACAATAAAACAGTGGAAACAAACATGTTTGACTTTCATTAGTGAATGAAACTGTGTGCCCTTTATAGTCTGTGTCCATTATTGTGTATTTGTATATATTGTATATATATATCCTATATATATGCTAAGGTCTCGCTGCTGACACGATAGCAGTCATTTCGTGCGCATATGTGTAATTAAACCGAATTAAACCCATGATATCAAAATCTCACTCCAGCCAGGTACCCAAAGTTGGCAACCCTGGGGTAATACATTTGACGATCCTGTCCGTCAAAATGACAGGCAGCGAAAAAGTCTAGCACACACACACAGTGCACACAGTGCGCACACAGTGCGCACGCAGTGCGCACGCACGCGCACGCAGTGCGCACGCACGCACACACACAGTGCGCACGCACGCACACACACAGTGCGCACGCACGCACACACACACACACACACAGTGCACACACACACACACACAGTGCACACACAGTGCACACACAGTGCACACACACACACACACACACACACACACATCACACACACACACACACACACACACACACACACACACCACACACACACACACACACACACACACACACACACACACATCACACCACACACACACACACACACCACACACACACACACACCACACACACACACACACACACACAACACACACACACACACACACACACACACACACACCACACACACACACACACACACACACACACACACACACACACACACACACACACACACACACACACACACACACACACACACACACACACACACACACACACACACACACACACACACACACACACTTCAAATCAAGTTGCATAAATACTTGAGCTACATTTTTATCATAATTACTGTGAAATGTATTATGTTTTCGTCATTATTACAACAAATACACACTTGCAACTGATAACACTGGCAATATATATATATTTATTAGACTATTAAAACAAAATCTTGTTTCAAAGAAGTGGGGGCTCCAAATAAGTGGGGGGACGGCGATCCCCCGCATCCAGCGACCACTACACCACTGAATATATGCGAGTTGGTAGCAACATGAAAAGTGCAGTATTCAATTGATTAGGCTTCGTCAGATATTACTCCCGATCTTTCATTCAATTCATAGCATTTGAGTGAATTTAAAACAAGCCAAGTGTCCGTAGGGACTTGGGTATAGGTGGGTCTAATAGTCAAGCCACACTTTTCGAAAGACCTCAACCAACACGCGTCTATCAATTTTCAAACGTAGCTTAGATATGACCACATCCACTTCCGCATGAAGCCTCGTGTCTAAATCTAGGCCATAAATGTCTGAGACCTATAATATGTTGATGAAAAACAGTATAATAGGGGACCTTTAAATGACTGAGTGACAACATCAGTCTACTGCCTCCCACTGCACGAACACAATAACAACATACACACCGCCCAGACAGCCCACTCACACATATCTGGCATTCCTTACGTGGCTGACCACAAAGATGGGCGATCAGGCATCCCTGTTATGACCGTAAATACACAGGCATACACGCCTTTGCTACCACATGACTGATCCCTTCTACCGCCACACAATGCACTGCTAACACCGGCGATCAATACATCGACAGACAGCGATAAGCTTGGACCAGACAGAGGTAAACAATCAGCCATGATATATTTCCTGACGCTTTATTTATTTTTCATGAATGAGTCCTTGTTCTGACTCCGATTCGTCCTTTTTTTTTGGCAGAGATGATTCAGCGGTCTTCAGCATGAGAAAGTTGTAAGAGGACACTGTGGGCTCTGTTGCTGTTGGCACACTCTGGTGTTTTCAGGATCTCAGAGCGAGTGTGTGCGCTGTTTGGAGATAGACGGTGTGTATTTACAGTAAAGGTCTTCCTGTCCAGGTGGCGGGGCTAATCAGGTGTTTCTGTCAACAGAGCTGCTCTCCTACACATCCAGCGCTTCCCTCTCCCATCCAAACAATGTCCCACTGCTCAGGAACATCCTTCCCATCGCAAACCAAACACTTTAAAAAAAAAAAAAAAAAATTTCCAGGTTTCCACCAGTATGTGGCAAGCTGGGCGTAAGCTCAGTGGATAGTATGATGGACTTTGAATCAGGGGATAGCAAGTTCGAGTCCCACTGCAGTCAGCATGTCGTTGTGTCCCTGGGCAAGAAACTTCACCCCAAATTGTTCCTGTGGGGATTGTCAACAGTACTGAATGTATGTAAGTCGCTTGGGATAAAAGCCTCTAACAATAACATGTAATGTAATGTAAGCATTGTGGATTCAAAACAAGAAAAGGATTTATGTTTAAACTAAAGTGTGTAGCCACCTTTTTAAAGAGTGAGTATGTAGTGTCTCTACTGTGACATGTCTCCATGCTTTAATGTTCAAAAAGCTCTTTATTTTTCTCATACTGCCTGTGCTGCAGCACCCTCTTTTCACCCTCTGTCTGAAACCAGAGCCCTGTCTGCTGATTGGTTAGCTGGTCGGCTCTGCTGTGATTGGTCAACCGCTTAAAAATGTCCCCGCCCCTTAGCCTATCATGTACAATAGGGGTGTAACGGTTCACAAACATTTCGGTTCGGTACGTACCTCAGTTTTTAGGTCACGGTTCGGTACGTTTTCGGTACAGCAGAAAAATGATCACAAAACATAAAATATATATATTTTTTTTTTAATTATTATTAAACTGTGAATAATGTATTCACTCAAATAAATACAAAATATAATAAAATAAACATTAAGGTGCAGCATTTCGATGAACTGAAATCATCTGTATTTGAACTTTACTGTACTAGTACTCACAAAACATAAACTATTAGTTTTGGGTTTTTAATTATTATTAAACTGTGAATATTCACTCAAATTAATACAAAATATAATAAAATAAACATTAAGGTGCAGCATTTCGATGAACTGAAATAATCTGTATTTGAACTGTACTGTACTAGTATCTAAGCAGCCAGCTTGACATTAGGACTTGCTTGTCATTGTATTTTCATGTTTTTTTAAAGAAAAATTAACTTGTCCACATTGCTTGCCGAAAGGGCAGATCTGCTGGCACTAACAATGTCTCCTGCTGTGGAGGACACCCTCTCGCTAGGGACAGAGGTAGCAGATACAGCCAGGTAGCGCTTTGCTAACATGGCAACATAAGGATATTTGGCGTTTGTAATAGCTTTGGCTCGGTCTGAACTTTTTGCGAGTGGTGGAGGCTTAAATGCTAGTGGGAGTTGGGTTTGCACTTCAGTCTTTTTTCTTTTGGTACCGGTGATATTCACGTTCGGGTGATGCCTTTTCAAATGAGTGTGCAAGTTTGATGTATTGCCAGCCGCGTAAGCAATTTTAGTTGAAAAATGCCGACAAACAGCTTTGGTTCGGTCCACCTGTCTTTGTCCGTCATCCTTGTACGTAACTGCGAAACCAAAATGTTCCCAAACCGGAGACTTCAATGATGCTGGAGGATTTTCGAGCTCAACTTTATCTGCGTTCGCCATTTCGACAGTTCCTCAAATTACTGACTAAATTTGAACGCATCCCTGTGACCAGCTCTCATAGTATGCCTCTCGTCCAATGAAATGACTTGGTCGCTCTATGACGCGTTGAACCCAATGTGAGCAAATTACTCTGAATACTGCGACGCAGCACCTGAGATTACTTCCAAAAGGTTGTTCACGTTCTCAATTTTTTACGTTTAACGTTATAGTCGTTCGGTACACTTCGGTACACACATGTACCGAACCGAAGGGCCCGTACCGAATAATTTCGGTACGGGTACGTATACCGTTACACCCCTAATGTACAATGTGTTGGAGGGTAGAAGTGCGAGTGTTACATAGTGATGTCACTATGTACTGGAAGTAAACAAAGGAGTCCAATGGAAGGATTTTTTGGCAGGGGGGGAGAGTGTGGGAGAGAAACTCCCTCTGGAGGGGACACAGGGATTATAGCCTTTGCAGACCATTTACGTGCACAAAGAAAAGCCCAAAAAGAAGAATAGGGTCACTTTAAGGTGGACCTGATATTATCATATTAGCAACAAGCATTTGTCTCTAAGGTCTTGCTTAGCATCCCCCCACCCCACCCTATTTATTCCTGCGTTGACCTTGTTATTGAATCGTGGCCAGTTGTGCAGCTGTACTCCATCGGTTCTTGTAAGACGAAATCATACAGTGAGGTAAAAAGTCTGTTTGGGTGGTGCTCGGTGAGAAAAGCTCTGCTGGTCTGGTTTGTAAAGATCCAGGTCAACATTTTCACATGCTCTGCTGCAGGTGTGTGTGAATGTGTCTGTGTGAATGTGTTGGGTATAAGATCCAGAGAGGTCAGCCAGCAGGATGTAAACACACAGTTGGAGTGACTGCGTTCAGACCGTGCCACGTAACAGCAGTACATTGTTTTTATCGTGCCCGCTGTCAGAGCTAATCCAAAGACTTTGACCTGGCAATGACACGTCAGTCACTTGATCATTTCACAACTTATCAATTATGCATTTCCTTCCCTGACACGATGCATCTCTAAAACGGATTGCGCAACAACACGTGTGTGTGTGTGTGCTGAATATGTGGCAAAGGTTATCAAAAAGTGTCTGACGTTCATATTGGTTGGAACACAAAATGCATACCAGAGATATAAAATGGATTCTATTATTAAGTATTATTCAGATAATACGATTCCAGGCCATAAATATTGCCCAATAGTATTAAGTTAACTATTCAGCTTTTGTATATTGACTTATCAAGAACAGTATCTTCATACTCATATACTGTAAAGCAGCATGTAACTTTAAAGTGTGTTTGCTATGAAAGTATGAACAGTATAATAGCCTTCTTATCCATGTTTAACCATCATTTTAAATATATTTAGGTTTTCGACTGCTGTTGGATAACAGAAAACTCCAGGAAATCACATGTGGCATTTTCCCAGATATAGCTTCATGCCACAGAGCTTGGTTTAATTCAATCATAAAGTGATTATTTCTTGTTCACTTTGAGAGCTGGACAAATGTTCCTTCCTGTCCTTGTTTTAATTGTCTTTTAGCCCCAAGCAAGACACAGACCGGTTCCTAAAAGGATCTTTAAATGCCTTGTTCTGTGCTGTTGGGCAAAATTCGTAATTTGTAACACCTCAAAAGAATGTGTTTTAATTAGGTTGCTTTTAGGTCTCCAACACGTCGATCGCGAGCCACCGGTAGCTCGCGATCCCTCAATAAGTAGCTCGCCAAGCAAATACAAAATGTAAAACATACACAGAAAAAAAAAGAAATACAATTAAAAGAATCTACCCTATACATAAACGAAACCTCAATCATAGCTAACTCTATCTACTTACTACAACTCTATATCTATCTAACACCCCTCCTCCCACAACCCACCACAATGAATATCGACCAATCACGGTCTTGCTTGATTTGCGGGACCAGCGTTGCAGTCGGGAAGACCGTTGCAAGTTTGCCAGGCATTATACACTACACACTTTCTTGGATTTGTTAACACCATAGTCCTGACAAAATATGTGTAGAAAGGCAGGAAAATACCCAAAGCAGCTCAAAAGGGTAAAAGGTAAGCATCTAATAATGTTAAAATGTGCTAAATATATACACTGCAAAAGCAAAAAACAAAACAAAACAAAGAGGACTGAAAGTAGCTCACGACTTGTTTTATTTTTTTTAAAGTAGCTCTCATCCTAAAAATGGTTGGAGACCCCTGATGTAGACCCTCTCCTTTCACTGAAAAATCATGAATTATAAGACTTGAAATAATATGGATTTTAAGTAAAGTTACAAAATTAAACCAACAAACATTTATCTTTAATTGTAAATCACATATATCTGCATATGTGTCTGTTTGTTTTCCTTCTGTTTTGGTCTTTTTGTTTAAAACTTTATATGTTTTAATGCACATGTGTCAAACTCAAGGCCCGGGGGCCAAATCAGGCCCTTGGTGGATTTAATTTCGGCCCGCAGGATAATTTTTAATTACGATTAGATCTGGCCCGCCGGTATATTGCACGCACACCTTAGGCGCTTTCACACCGGACTACTTTTCCCGTACTTTTCCCGTTTAGTTCCGTTAGTGCCTGGAATTTTGCGTTCACACCAAAAAGAGAACTTAGTTCAGAGAACTTTTACCCCCATTTTTAGTGCCTGTTATCCTGGGGAGAAAAAGTACCAATTTCTGATTGGCTGGGCGAATTGCAAACCACGCCCCGTAAAACTCTGAAAAGTTTTGTGAAGCCGCCATTGTATTTGCTGGCATTAGCATTATTAGCATTAGCCCCGCGCACCAACGGAGAGAGAATAACTTATGGCAACACAAAAAAAAACATGTGAGCGGTGTAGATGAGGAGGTGTCGGCGTTCTGGCGATTTACTCTGAAGGCTTCAGTAGAAGCTGCTGGGAGTCCCAGCAGCTTCTACTGAAGCCAGTCCCCAACTCCGGGGATTTCCGGCCGGGGACTTCGGGTGGCAGTATACGCCGTGAAGTTGTTTGCGGCCTGCCAGTAAACCCAAAGCAGAAGAAGAAGAAGAAGAAGAAGAAGTGACGTCAGCGGCTTCATTTGCCTAATCTTCCCTCAGGGAATTTATTCCGGTGTGAACGCGATCTGTACTTAGTTCCATGGGGGAACTAAGTGCTGGCACTAAGTGCTGGGCACTAAGTACGGCAAAGTACTTGGTGTGAAAGCGGCTCTTCACTCAATCCTGAGGATCTCCTCAGCTCAGAGCCTGATCCCAAACATTGATGAACTTGCACCCAAGATGAGATCCCAAGTATCTGGCTTGAACTAGCATCACAGAGCAGCAAACTGAGTTTAATGGATGTTTTCTTGCGACAACAGGGCATGTTTATTTTTTTCTTTGAGGGAAATAGTTTTTTTGAAGCTGTTGTTGGCCTGTGGAAAAATGTAATCATAAGAAATGACTCCGGAAAAGCTGCAGATAGAGCCATAAGAAATGAATGCAACTGATTATTTAATGTTTAATGTTGTTTTTATAGGCAATAATTTAAGCTTTGTTAGTTCCAGGTTTAATATGTGCAATAAGTTCATTTCAATAAGTTTTGCAATAAACATTGAACCAGTCCGGGCCTCGACTAGTAAGCATTTTTTTATTTTGGCCCAATGTGTATTTGAGTTTCACACAATGCCACCTCTGCATATCATTTCTTCTTTTAAAACTGCATTCAGCGCACATACTTTCAAGATTTGGCTTACTTTGTGGAAACTGACATTTAGAGAAGGTCAGCCCAGCCAGTTGTGACATTTGCTCTCCAGTTTATAGACACACACAACCCTCATCTCTTTCTTTCTTTAGGAGAATAAGGAATACTATTTTAAAAAGACAGCAAAAATAACATTTTCCTAAGTACTGTGAATGCATGATGTAACTGTCTACATCACATAGCCTCCCACAGGACCGTTACACCCTAACTTCTATTTAATAGTTAGTAAACTCATTACAGTTGGCCTACGATGAAGTGGTAAGGTTTCTCAGCATGCTTCTCTCACAGTGTCCGACCCAACAGCTGTATGTTAATGTGTCTAACATTCAGACACACTAGATTAGCTGCTAGACATAATAAACTAAGCAATGCTGAATAATAGCTCCCAGTCTGAGTTCAACCAGCTATGAAACAGTCTTCAGAAGGTGTGTCTGCTTCACACACAACATTACGGACTATAACAACACTGTTTTGCAATACATATACTATGTTTCAATTCTACTACTGGCTGCTTATTCGTTTTGCATTACCCAACACCCGTAACAATGCTGTCGTAACATAAAACTGTGTAATACTTTATACTAGGAATTATAGTATTTACTACTGTCATTCTGCAGCTACTTCATTACTTTTTACTTGGTTCACTTTCTTTATAATGCAGCTACTAACCTTTTGATACTTGATATGTATAATTATTTTGTGTGAAATGCTTAATATGTGTGCTCACTTGACTAAATACTGCTTTTATGTTGTCTCCATCAGTACTGTCTCTTAGCTGTGGCTTGTAAATGTCCCCTCTGTGGGACTAATAAAGGGAGTCTGATTCTGATATTTAGCAAACTGACCACCACGTCACCTGGCGTGTACATGTTGTGTACTTTGGACCTATATGATGCTGTCTGTAATACAGTGGTCGAAAGTAATTAAGTACTAGTAAATGTCATTCACTCTAGTACTTTACTGAAGTACAATTTGGGGAACTTGTACTCTACTTGAGTATTTCAATTTTTAGCTACTTAGTACTTTTACTTCTCTTCAATTCAGAGGTAAATAGTGTACTTTTACTCCTCCACATTTATGCAGTACCTTTGCAGATATAGTGATGAACAATATGATCAACACTTAAATGAGACTTTACTTACATCTGGATTAAATTCCCAAGCTGCATCAGACAAAGGAATTCAAACTAGCTCTACATTTACTAGCTTTAATAAACACATTAATACATATATAAGAATAGTCAAAACATAAAATATGTATTATTCTTCACAATGAGTACTTTTACTTTTGGTACTTTAAGTATATTCTGTTGCCAATACTTTTGTACTTTTACTTGAGTAACCTTTTGATGCAGGACTTTTACTGTAACAGAGTATTCCTACACTCTGGTACTTCTACTTTTACTCAAGTACAACATCTGAGTACTTCTTCCACCCCCTGTCTGTATAATGAGTAATCCTCCAGCCTTTTGGGTGACTCACTGACTGGATGAGTTTGCTAACCATAACTAACTTAAAGTCTGAGAGCATCTTGCTAGCTAAGCTAACGTTTCTACATTATTTTTGACTTAAATTAACCTAGTCAGTGTATAATGTTGTGTACACGGTCCTCCTCAGAGGTACTACCTTAATGTAATGGAGTAAAAGTACACGATTTACTTCTGAATTGTAGTGGAGTATAAGTAAAAAGTAGTACAAAATGGAAATACTCAATTAAAGTACAAGTACCTCAGAACAGTAGCCTACTTGAGTAGATGTACTTCGTTACTTCCCACCTCTGTTTGCTAGCTTGGCTAACGTTTCTATATTATTTGCTACTAAGACAACCACGGAAATAAACAAATAGTCATCTTCGTTGATTATAACGAAGGTGTAAATAGAGGTGTGTCGTTTGTTGAAATAAATGAAGCTACTCAATGTTTAATGTCTCCTCGGCCCTCCTCCTCCTGTCAGTCTTAAGCTAGCCTAGCATACCAGCTAGCAGATCCCGTTACCTTGGTTTTGACCCGGTTCGCGTCCCACGCCGGTCTCAGGTCTTTAATGAGCTTCATCGCCCCTTCCGTCACGTTGTGTTCGTCCACAAAAATGGGGATTTTACGAATAAACGGCGACCCCACCGGCACATGTATCTGCGTCTCCATCCCGTTTGTCTTTACCGTTAGTCTCCTCTCCGGTAGAAACTGCAGCATACAAGAGTCGCTTGTTTTATGATCAGCTGACGCGTGTATGTTAAAGAAAGGCGGTGTATTTTTGCTTTTGTTTGCTGTTTTAGGTAATGATGAATTGAAAGCAGGGATGTGGATGATCACTCTGCCGGGTATGGATGCTCGTCGCCGGTTTTCTTGGGAGCAAACCAGCCAACTGTAGCATTTCCTCCTCCTTAGCTCCGCCCGCCCCGGATCATCCGATTGTACCGCCGGTTGAGACGACGCAGCGCAAGCCGAGCACGCCCATTCATCTCCGAGTGTTGCCGAGCACAGCCGAGTTCAGCCGAATAAAAAGACGCCGAAACAGAAACAGGTTTATTATCAGATAGATTGACACGTACGAGGAATTTGACTTGGTGTCGTGGTGCATACATAAACATACAAATAAAAAACATTTTTAAAACACAGATAGAGAACTATAATAACATACACAAATAATATACATTTTAGTCAAATGCAGTATTTACATTGAAATAGAATGGAATGAAATATGTGCAGTAATACAAAAAAACTGATATTGTGTACATTGTGTGCATTAAGGTAATGTATAACTCATCTACAAAATCTATTTGTATTACGTTTTTAATATTATTTATTTAATTCCTTTCATTATATATTTATTTTATTATTATTAATATTTATAGATTTCTACATTTTATTGGATCTATTCATTTTGTATTATTTCTTCCTTTAATTTTTCGAGAGGGATCATTATTTATTTATATTGTATTTTACTTGTATTATCATACCTTTTACCTCCTTGTGTCTCTTTAACTGTTAAACGGTTATATTATGTTGCTATGCTGCATGTTTCCAAAAATATCTTGGCGTCTGATCTGAGGTGAATGTTTTGTTCCCTGTGTTCATTTGTATTGTGTGCCAAATTTGTCAAAGCACCTGAGGCCTGTACTACGAAGCCAGTTCAACATAAACTGGATATCTGTTCCTTTGATCTCATAGAAGATAGCATTGAAACTACAATGCAGGGACATAGGGTTGTTAACAGGGCAGGCAGTTTACAAACAGTCGGGTTCTTAATTTAATATCAGATTTCTGAACTAAATACAAAAAAAAAAATGTTCTGAGCAATTCATTTTGAAATTATTTTAACTATAGTCTCAGAATCCTGACATTTTCCCCCGAACCATTCGCCTCAAGTCCCGGCGTTTCAACTCTGCCTCTACAATAAAGCGACTGGTTGACAAAAAAAAAATAGCAGAAATATAATAGAATTAATTCATAACCCTAACCAGAAAGCAATTGAAAATAACGAAGGCTTTATTAAAAAAAACAAAAAGCATTTGGAGTTTTGGTGGGAATGTCTGTCAATTGCACTGGGCTATGGAAAACCAACAGTGCCACAATACACCAGTATTTTTACTTGTTTGTTTTATCGCGTTTATTACGTGCGTTTTTCGCGCATTTAAAGGTGGGGTAGGTAAGTTTGAGAAACCGGCTCGAGATACACTTTTTGTTATATTCCATGGAATGCTCTTAACATCCCGATAGCAATGAATATCTTAAGTGCTTTGAAAAAAAATCCATACAAAAATGTCATCTGTGGAAGCCGTAGTACTGTAAAAAGCATGACCAATCATTTTAACCGGCCCGGCTAAAATAACTGGATGGCCTACCTGCCTGTCAGCCTTCCATCTGTGCACAAACTTATCTCGTGCCCTCATTGGTCATGTGCGCGTTCGTATGTGTTGGAGGAGGGGCTCTGTAAGGAAGTGGCAGATTTTCTCCGGTTGTGTATTTTCAAATTCTAGCGATCTCGAGCCGGTTTCTCAAACTTAAAAATACCGCTTTTTACAGTGCTTTAAATAAGAAATGTCATGTGTTTAAAACACTTGACTGTAGCGTAGAGGTCTGTTACGTTCCCTTATTGTCTGAAAGAAAAGGCAAGTAACAACAGATTTTTAAAAACGGGCAAAAAAGGGAAAGAGGAAACTGATTTGCAAAATTAAAATAATATATTTAAGCAATAGCTCATGACAGGCCGAACCACGCCCCTTAGCTGTGATATAATGAGCATATATCACGGCCTGAAGTGAGCTATTGCTTTTATAAAACGGTTACCAAGTGTGGCAATATGAAAGAAAAATACACACTCTAATTTAAATAGTTTTTATTAGTAAATAATGATGTTCAAAATAAAATAGTCCCTCCGTTGCCTTCTGCACGAAACATAGTGTGAGGTGGTTGCTATGCAACAACACTAACAGCTAGTGAACATATTAGACAGAGAGCGTTGATCCATTATTTGGCTATTTATTTACATTCATTTATATGTTGCCGTTTATTGTGCACCCACTGAAAAACTGTCCAGCATCAGTAGAATGGCTTACGTGGTTACTTGTATAGGTTGAGGTTGTTCTAGGCTGTTGCTTGGCGTGGCGAGAATATTGCTCCACTTTCTCCGATCCCCGAGATTCGGCTTCCAGTAGCTCTGGAGAGAGCTTTCGCACCTGTGGCCACTAACGGTCATAATTTCTCTGCTTTGTTTCAAGACCCGCATCAGAAAGCTTTTGAATGGTGCTACTTTTCCAGTTGGTCTCTACCTGCTCTTCACGTAGCTCTGCATGTCTTCGTTTAGGTGCTTTTTTTTTTCTGGAGATAGGCACTGCTCAATCCACTCCTCCATAGTAAGGCCACCCCGGAGGTCGAAGTTAACCTTAAATGTTTCCATCTTAAGCTTTGTTAGTTAGTTAGTTTCGTAACGGACGTAATGTAACGTAACGGTTGTAGCTTTTTCTCAGACGCGGAGGGATACTGACTTGTGAAAAGTAACTACAATTCTACCCGTGATATACGCTCATTATATCACGGCTAAGAACCAATCAGATTGCTTGATTTGACTTGTCCGTTTTATAATGTTTATTATAAAACGGACAAGCCAAATCAAGCAATCTGATTGGTTCTTAGCCGTGATATACTGAGCGTATACCACGGGTAGAATTGTAAGTTACTTTTCACAACAAGTCAGTATCCCTCCGCGTCTGAGAAAAACTGTATACAGTTGGGCTGAAAAGCAAACTGCCCGCAGTTTGCTTTTCAAACTGGAACAAGAAAGCAGCGGAGAAGTAACGGGGCAGAAACCCTCCTTTTTACGCAGCGGTCCAGACATAGACATCAAACGGCAAAAACATATTCAGTGTGCAGCTCCTTTGGCATTAGGGCAGGGATATCTAGATACTTTCCAAGGTTTGACATAATGAGTTGTGCTACTTTTAAAGCAAGCAACGATGTTTTCAAATCTGTAATCAAAAAGGTCCGCAAAAACGCTATCGACCAATCAGATTGCTTGATTTGACTTGTCCGTTTTATAAATATATTTACATTTCTTCCGTTACGAAACAAACTTACAGAGCATAAAATGGAAACATTTAAGATTAACTTCGACCTCCGGGGGGGTCTTATTATGGAGGAGTGGATTGAGGAGTGCCTATCTCCAGAACAAAAAGCACCTAAACGACGACATGTAGAGCTACGTGAAGAGCAGGTAGACCAACTGGAAAGGTACCACCATTCAAAAGCTTTCTGATGCGGGTCTTGAAACAAAGCAGAGAAATTATGACCGTTAGTGGCCACAGGTGCGAAAGCTCTCTCCAGAGCTACTGGAAGCCGAATCTCGGGGACCGGAGAAAGTGGAGCAATATTCTCGCCACGCCAAGCAACAGCCTAGAACAACCTCAGCCTATAACCACGTAAGCCATGCTACTGATGCTGGACAGTTTTTCAGTGGGTGCACAATAAACGGCAACATACAAATTAATGTAAATAAATAGCCAAATAATGGATCAACGCTCTCTGTCTAATATGTTCGCTAGCTGTTGTTAGTGTTGTTGCATAGCAACCACCTCGCACTATGTTTTGTGCAGAAGGCAACGGACGGACTATTTTATTTTGAACATCATTATTTAATAATAACAACTATTTAAATTAGAGTGTGTATTTTTCATTCATATTGCCACACTTGGTAACCGTTTTATAAAAGCAATAGCTCACTTCAGGCCGTGATATATGCTCATTATATCACAGTTAAGGGGGTTGTCGACCCTCCGCTTCGCGTCGGGCCGAACCACGCCCCCTTAACTGTGATATAATGGCCATATACCACGGCCTGTCGTGAGCTATTGCTTAAATATATGAAAATAAAGAGTGCTCAAAAGCCAACTTACAAAACAAACTGAAGACAAAATAAAACAACTTTCTTACAAAATAAATCGATAACAATAAACACTGTAAAAATACACAATGGAGCACATCTCCAAAAACTAACAAACACAAGCCACAACTAGTTAACACACTGAGACAAAACTGGCTGCACACTCCATATTTCATATATTTGAATATATATATATATATATTTGTATATATAATATCTGCATGTATATTTTCTATTTCGACATGTATATTTTATATTTTATTTTATTTTATTTCTATTCTTGTATATTTTGTAGTTTTGTTTTATTGTAAAATGCCTTTTATGCTGCTGTAACAAAAACAATTTCCCAATTTGGGATCAATAAAGTACGATCTAAGATCAAACCACGGGTTGACAATAGATAATTCCCTCACAACACATATTACATTGGGGCACATTACATGGCTGCAGTACCACCTCTTTGTCCAGTGGTGGCAGTATAGTGATACAAATGCTACAGTAGTGAGAGCAGTGAACACAGGGTTAAGTCTACAAGGTGCAACACCGATTTTTTTTAATCAAACTACAATATGAAATAACTTCCCTGTGATAAAGTAAATCTCTAATATTCTTCATGCTTGCAATGCTGTAGCGCATGAATGCTCCTCTGCTCACAGTTCCCCACAGTAACACAATCAACATGCCATTCTGTTTTAGCGGTTTATCTTACTCTGATGGCTTACGTATGATGGTAATTTAACATATAAAGTTCATTTAAAATGACTTTGAGAATATCTGAAGATAGAAGATGTTACCCCCGGGTGTTAAACCTGATGCCCCCACATGTAACACCAATGCTTATACCTCTAGACCACATGATATACTCTAAATATGAATGCTTATATGATGTTTTTTGGATTTAATTTGTACCTTTACCCCAACATCATAAGTAAGCCATCAGAGTAAGATAAACCGCTGAAGCAGAATGGCATGTTGATTGTGTTACTCGTGGGGAACTGTGAGCAG